CCAGAATGCAGGCAGCATTGTGTAGTATGATGGACATTGTGACTTCACCTGGGAACAGATGGGTGGATGATGAATGGCTTCTTCTGGTAACTCCTACATTCAGTGGTATATGGATTACCTACAAGGGAGCAGCCACTGCATCACTTTGCTGGATTCCTGGCAGTTGGCAGTATCTGCTCCCTTTCTCACAGTACTGTTCTCAAGACTGACCATTTTCTTAGCAGAACTATCCTTGAAGGCAGATCTAGACTTGGCTTGCCTCTTTCTAGCTCTGGAACTCACCCAGCAATGGGCTTGGTGGCAGCCAGTGGTCCTCTAATAAATATTGATCAGATAAATTATTGGATGAAGCAATCAACCAATCACTTTTTTTTGACAGCTCAGCCCACCCTGAGGTTGGGGCTGACATGGTATGTGGTGCTGAGAATCAAACCACAGTGCCCTGCACCTAAGCTTGCTTAGGCAGGCACTTTAGACCACTGAGTTATCTCACCGGCCCCCAGCCAATCACTCAAATTAATGAAGTCATCACATGGCTTTTATAGCTGTTTGAAACAAAGAAAAAAAAACAAAACAAGTCTGGAGTCAATACTAGACTACAATTGTATTATTAATAAATATGTAAATCAATATAATTAAATACAATTCAATTCAATTCCTCTCTTTATTGATTTCAGCTTCCATTTTTCCTACCTCTCTGAGGATGCCAGTAGCCTTGAAGCCACAGATCATCCCAGAGGCAGAAGCGCTTTCCTTTCCCCAGCTGACCCCTGTCTTTTGAAGGAGGCCAAGGGCTTTGATATATAACTTTATTCATTGACTCAGCATTTTCCAAATAGCAGGTGGCACAGTTCAATAGCTTGTGACCAAATTCCTGTTCTGCTGTTTTCCAGCTGAGTAGCCTTGGGCAATTCACTTGATCTCTCAGAATCTATAGAGTCCTCTAGAAAATGAGGGGTTAGTGGGTTCATGTGGAGAAAACAGACTTGGATCCAAACTCGTAAATGTTAGCTAATAGTAGCTGCATCTAATGGCAGTTTCCCAAACTGTGTTTCTAAAATGCTATCATGTGAGATGCTACTGACACTGCTATCAACTAAATATTAGGGGGTGGCTGTGCCCCAGGTGTTTTCTCAGATGCCCCAGGAATTCAATGTTATTCTGCCCTGGCCATTCTGGGAAAATAGAGACCCTGAGTTAAAGTACCTTGCCAGGTGTCACCCAGCAACTCAATGGAGAAAACTCAGCCCTTGTTCTTTCTCACTTTGAACCCCACACCTTGAACCGTCATTGCCTTTGTTTCATTTGTCAATACCGTATTTACTCTAATGAGGAGGATGAAGATACCTGCCTTGCCACTAAGGCACTAATCTTTACATTGGAAAGGTAATGCACCTCATGCCATTCACCTTCTCCACTCCACATAGAACAGCGCAGGAGTGACCTGCCTTTGTGGGGGAACACTGGCTAAGAGACAGTAACTGCTGGCACCAACTCCTCCTTGCAGCCTCCTTTCTGTAAAAATAAAAGCATTGTTTATTTTAGTGTCTCCATACTTCACCAATTGCCAGCAGGAGATAGTCTTGTCCTTTTTCTCCGTTCACTTCGTGGTAAGTTGTTTCATCATATTTACATGCTTTTTTTTTTTTTTTTTGGCAGAACTGGGGATTGAACTCAGGTCTTTGTCCTTGCCAGGCAAGGGCTTATTCTACTGAGCCATCTCCCCAGCCCCTACATGCTTTTGTGTAGCAAATTTCTATCAAGTGTCAAAGGGTGTCAGATCTCTTCTGGTCCAGGTGTACAAAAAAAATCCTAGTCCCCACTTCCAGGAGCAGAGTGGGAACAGCCTTCTGATAAAAACATAAAACAGTAACAGTAGCATAAAGAAACGGTCGTTAACATGGCATGATCATGTGCACAGGGCTAGAAGAAGCTGTGAAGGCTTGTGTTCATGGGAAGGGAAACCTTGGAGCTAATTCTGCAAGAAAATGGCATCCAATTGACTAGGAGACACAGGAAGAACATTTGAAGCCCATAATATGGAAATGCAAAATCAAGCTGTTTACTTGTGAGGGGAATTTTCTGCATATGGCCAGAGTATGGGGTGCTATACTGGGAGAGACAGATGAGACCAGATTGCAGAGTGCTTTCTGTCGCCACGGAGTATGGACTTTTCCCTATAGACCAGAGGGAGCGGAGGGCCTTGCTGGTTTTCCAACAGTGATTGCTTCTGACAAGATGTGCACTTCATAGCTATGGGCCTGGTGGTAGTAGGGAGGAGAAGTGAGGACAGGCAGGCAGGGCTGCCACAGTGCTGGACGGGACAAGCGCCAGAATATGAGGAGGGACCAAAAGAAGACATATGCTCCAGAGGGACAAAAACTCCGGCATCCTGGGTGAGGCTTCAGGTGAGAACAGGGAGAGAGACCCGAACCAAGAAATGAGTAGTGGCCAGTGGGGACAGGTTCTCTGGAATAGTCAAAGTACACAGTTGGTTCCTCAGGGCTAGTGAGGCACCATGGGACAATGAGCGAGTGTGTCAAACAGGTCATTTAGGAACAGAGAGGCTATCAAGGCTGGAGATTAGGATTGCCAGATTTAGCAGATAGATGTTCAGAGTAACTGGAATGTCAGATAAACAAAGAATTTCTTCTTAAAATGAATATGTCCCATGCAATGTATTGAGCAATTCATCATTTTTAAGATATGAATGTCTCAGCGCATGAGCCACTGTTGATCTGGCACTCAAATTGACATGGGGTGCCCCATATCTCATTTTGTGACCCTTCTCTAGAGGTGCCAAGGTCAAGGGCCCTGTATCTTCAACCCACCTGTTCTCACCCTGACAGGTAATAACAGGGCCTGTTGCCTGGAATATGTAGCTTTTATTACTAAACCTGGTAATGTTTCCAGGCAAACTAGGATGAGTTGATCGTCCTAAACCAGTAATGGTGAACCTTTTGGAACCTTCAATGATAATGAACAGCCCCTGCAGCACACATGCCATACATTTGCCACCACTGCCCTCAGCTGAACAGATGTTAATTGTATTGAATTTGGAAAATCTGACTGTGCACCTTGGTGAATTGAGGGCCATGCTAGGCCAAGGATTTACACCCCAGAGACCACAGTCTACACTTCATTATCTCCAGGTTGCCATCTGTCACCTTGACTGTGCCCAAGAATTCCAACCTCTGTTGGAAATTCCCTTTGGCTTGTATTTTTCCCCTTGAAGATGATTTTCTGCTTAGTCTTCATTTAAAATTCTGTCTGATCAAGACATCCTGTTGTAATCTGTATGACTCTACCGCACTCATTTCCTTTCTTCTCCGTTCAGTACAGTCTGCCTCTCGTAGTTTGCTTATCAGACTGACATGCACATCACAGGCCTGGACTTTGTTCTGATGTCTCTTTATATTTAATCTTATGGTTTTCTCTGCCAAGCAGATGTGTACTGAAATGTGTGTAAGAAGGAGCAGGATTGGTTTATTTAGGAGTTTTCTCAATTTGTACACACTCCATTGGTCTGAGAGAATTTTTTCTTTAAAAACCCACAAGAAACATGTTACTAGCTACTTAGAGGAATCAAGACAAATGTGTGTTTGGGCATTTCTGCTATTATCACTCTGACCCCTTTGCCAGACACATGAAAGCAGAGTTTGAGCATTCATAGGCTTAGAGACATCAGTGGCACTTTGCAGCTTTTCTCTTGCTGGTAAGATCTTTTTTGCCCACAAGGAATGAGTGATTTGAACAGCCTGGAAAAGGGATTTTGTCCAACTTGAATGAATTTGAACTTTATTATTATTATTATTGTTATTATTATTATTATTTTGCTCATCAGGTATTGGATTACATGTAATACATTGCTAGTGATGACCTCAATTTCCACGTAGTTTAAATCTCGTGTGCATTCTAAAGACTACTCATTTTCAGCATGATAAAGGCATCCAAGAATCAAGTTTTTGCTTACTAGGCCAAAGACATAGCCACCGGGCTTAAATGTACAAAGAGAAAGTGAATATCGAGATATATACCGAGGATATTCTGAACTCTGTTTCTTGCGTGGCCTATCTTATACCTACTACAGCTGGACATACCTTTCGTTACCTTTTTGGCTGTCATTGACCTCATGGCCATTTGATCTCTAAGGTTGTTTCATTTGCCTTTTTAGAAAACACTAGGATCAGGACAGCAAAGACATGCAGCAAGGGGTATCCCATGCGTCAGGCAGTCCAGTCCAGGAAGGAGTAAAAAATTGGTCAGACACGATCGCATTCAAAGCAAGAAAATACCCCAGTAAGGTGAAAGTAGGTGGCACAGAAAAGCCACCTGCAATCTACAATCAAATAGCATTTACTTGGGGGCCTGTTTCCAATGTTTTATTGAGTGTGGGCACCCAGAACAAAGGCAGTCTGAGGCAGTAGCAGAAATGCTGAAGCCAGGAGCAGAGCCTGAGGATAATTCATCCAGTCCTCAACTATGAAAAATTACAGGCCACTTGTAGCAAAGCAGGCATCTAAGGCCTTAGTGAGAACATGCAACTCACAAAGATTGTGCAGAGTAACTCCTGCTCAACCAGGGAGCATCCTGAATTTCAGTCATGTAGAAAACCACTTTATCTCCAACAATCTGGGAAGTAAGTCTTGCCTTGCAACTGGTAATTACACATTTCTGAGTGCATTGGGACTACCGAGCTGCTAGCTCCGAGGGATCTGACATTTTAAAACTAGCTCTTGTAAGCCAGGTGTGATGGTGCATGCCTGTAATGCCAGCACTCAGAAGGCTGAAGCAAGAGGATCCTTGTGAGTTCAAGTGCAGCCTAAACTGCATAGTGATACCCCGCATCAACAAAAAGAAACTTGCTCTTTAGCTATATACCAGTGTGTGTGGAACTGCACTGTTTATCATGCTTGGACTTGTGGGTAATGAACATGGCCGACGCAGGGTGTGAGTTCAGTAGATTTAGTCGGGGAACAAAGCATTTGTTTAACTTTTTATTCATCATGGCACAAGATAGAACTTTAAGAAACATCACTGAAAATTTCATCACCAACATGAAAATTGAGAGTAACACGTTTTATTTAAAAAAAAAAGTTTCTTTTTCTATAATATACTTTCCCTTCTGAAATGAAAAAAAAAATCTGAAATACTGAAGCAAACTGTCACTTGCTGGTCACAGGTGGTTTTGCAGCTGAAAAACTTCAAACTACTGAAGTATGTATGGCAGGAACACTTTCACAATACACATAAAATTACGAAGAAAACGTTTCCTCAGCCTTTGGCACAATGTAAGGACAAAACTGCAGTTTTTCTCTCCCTCAATATGACTTACTTCACAAAAATAATTGTATGTAATTTGGTTAATATTGATTATAGGGAAAAAGAAAAAAAATCATGTTCGATGATTTGAATGGTCTGTTTAGATGCTTAAACACTTTATAGTTGGATTCCAGTTTGTGGTTCTGAAAAATACATAGAAGTTATACCCTCTAAATATATATTATATATGGTCTATATAAAAGTGAATTTGACATAAATTGGGACAAATTATTCTTTGTTATGCAAGGCCTTTCTCTTTGGATTAACTGAATCCTTTCTAAACATGTTCTAAAAATATATTTCATATTGTATCAAATTCAACATTTTCCTTAAAACTTACTCAATATGAAAAAGCATTCAGTGATTATAACTTCTGTATCTCGCTACTATAAAAATATGGCTTCTCTTACTCTTGCTTTGTTAGTGTTTTTCTTAGGCATTGAAAGAAGGGCTGTCCCCAGGTAAAAAGCTGTGGCAAAAGTACTGAACCTGGCTTGTGCATATTCTAGAACACTCTATAGAATCTCGTTGCTTAATATAACTCATGGTGCAATATAAGTGAAGTGATTTTTTTTAAATTGTTTCTTTTTTCTCTGTGAATATATCATTTTGAATGTCATACACAAACTATTACAGAATATACAATAGTCAAAACTGAAGACACATAAATACAATTAAGCTATACGAAAGCAAGAGTTTTGTCTTATACAGAGTCCACGTGAATGGTTTTCTGGTGGGACACTGTCATGTTTGGGTTGTCCTAAGGCTGGCTATGCAGTGGAACCCTATCGTAAGTGGCAAGGGGATGATGGGTGCTCTGCCTTGGGAATTAGACTCCGTTTCTCTTGTGGTGCTTTTGTAACGTGTGAAAGAAGACAAGGGAGGCAGTGTCCTGTGGCCGGCTGGACTGGGAGGGATGTTTGCGACAACGACAACGGAGCGGGCTCCTGCTGGCTGCAGTGGGTGGGCTCACACCAGCGTCTCCGGGAGGGCGTCGGGGTTTTCGGTGGACAGCAGCTCCCAGATCTGCCACCGCTCTCGCTGCCAGTCCAGCCAGCTGGCTTCCCCCAAGTTCGGGCTGCTTTGCTCGCCCCCTGGCAGGGCGTAGGCGCTGCTGCTCAGTTTTCTCTGCGTGGCCTGAGGCTCCCGCTCGGCCGCGGGGCCTCCCTCGTCCGAAGCCGTTCCAGAGCCTTCCTCCGGCCCCTGCAGTCGCCACAAGGGCGGCTCCGGGGCCTTCCCGGGGCCGGGGTAAGGAGGCGGTGGCCTGTGATCAGCCCTGCCGCCCTCCCGAGGTCTCTGGGACCCAGGCCTGGCCCGGCTGGGCAGCCACGCCCCGTCCTGCTCGCCTTCGGCGAGGTCCTCGGTGCTGCTTAGGGTCAAGTACGGCTCGGACCTGGCCACAGGCCGCCTGCCCGCACCGCCGCCGCCAGCCTGGATGTGGGGGGTGCTGCTGACCCTCGACACGGGAAGGTGCACGCTGCACTGGGCCACGGTGGCCGTCGTCTGAGTCCTGCGAATCACAGGAGTGCCTCTGTCCAGCTCTGCGGGGCTCCCCTGACATCGAGGCCAGTTCAGGGACAGGTTCCCCTGAGACAGAGAACAAGGCCCCGGTCTGAGGGAGCTGCTTTCAAATATGTCGCCATAGGAACCTAAGAGCCAGAAAGGCAAAAACTGGGATTAGTTTACCCTTGAGGATCCGAATCCTGTTGTTTTCTTCCTACTGAGGACTGCTACAGTTGTAGGAGTACAGTACACACTTAGCTGCTGCTCCTTCACACACACACACACACACACACACACACACACACACACCCCGCTTCCTAGCAAAAGAAATGACAACTGCTTTTTAATTATTGGCACACTGTGTGACCATTCCAAACACACATGCTTAGACTGACAGGTCATCTGAGCTGTCACACCAAAGAGAACAGCTTTACCACCAATTCAGGTTTCAGGAAAGAAAATGGAATAAAACAGAATCTGAGACTGGCATATTGGTGTAGAAAACCAAAGGACAGTTTATCCTCCCCACCCTCATGTCCAGCATTTTCCAAATAATAACTTGACAAGCATGTTAAGATGATCATAATAAGGCAAAGACTCCGAAAATTAATTTTCAAAACAGTGCAGTGAAATTTTTAAGTAACACTCCACCTGTCATTCCTGCGTCCTTGGATCCACTTTTTAATGTTGAATGCCAAGTCCCCCAGATATTGAAAGGTTCCTCTGACATATCTGGGAAAGAGAGCATAAAAAGATACGTCACACAAAATGTAATTTTAATAGAAAATGACCTAAAATATTTTAACGGTATCTCTTCTGTGCAAATGCCTTTGTGATTGCGTAATAGAACACACTTGGAGCCTGCTTTTTCAGGAAGCTTACTCATTCAGAATTTACCAAAGTCTCTTTCCAAATCATGCTTGGGATAGACAGCAGAAGGGTCCCCCAAGACATCTGCATCATAATCTCCAAAAGGTATAAAAGTATTATCTTAAATTCAAGAAGGATTTTTGAGATGCAGTCGAATTCTGGCTCTCGGCATGCGTTAATCCTGCTGGAGGATCCTGGCTGGGCCTGGGTTAAGGGTGCATCTGGGAGGCAGCAGGAGAAAAGAAGCTGCTCTGTCGGTGTTTTGAGAGTTGAAGGAAGGAGCAAAATGATAAAGAATACACAGTCATCTAAAAACTGGAGACGACAAGGAAGCAGGTTGCTCCCTAGAGCTTCCAGAAGGGAAGGCAGCCTTGAAGACCCATTGGATACCTCTGACCTCCAGGACTGTAAGAGAGAAAACTTGTCTAGCTTTAAAAAAATCTTGTATTTATTCATTTATTTGGTACAGGATCTTGCTACACAGCTCAGATTTGTAGTGATCTTCCTATCTCTGCCTCCCCTGCACTGGGATTGTGGGCACGAGCCACTGCGCCTGGTATCTGTGGCTGGCACAGCATGCTGTACTGGGGATCGAACCCGGGTCCTTCCACTTGCCAGGCAGGCACTTAGACTGCTGAGCTATCTCCCCAGCTCCAAAAACCTTGTATGTTTTAAAGCCACTAGTTTGTGCTGGTTTATACCATCAGTAGGAAGAAATTCATGAGGTGGCAACAGCATTATCATCTCTAACTGCATTAACATGGAGCCAGAGGAACAGTACCAATAGCTTTTTTGGGGGGTATCAGGAATTGAACTCATGACCTCATGCTTGCCAGGCAGGTGCTGTACTGCTCAGCTCTATCCGCAGCCCACCAGTAACTTTGATCTTTGCCCAGAAGTACCCTGCTAGTGGCTCACACAGATGCGTTTCTGCCTCTGTTCCTCCATCAGTCTCTTCACTGTGCATAAAGAGCTATGGAGGAGGGTGCTCTGTTGGGTGTTTCCACCATCTACTGGCCTCATCCCTACAACCCTGGCATGGGATCATAACTATGACGTAGAGAAACAAAGGTCTCCTGAGTGCCTCCATGGTTTGGGTGCTTCCACACATTGTCTCCACGCCTCCCTGGGGATCCCAGGAGAGACAAGGCAACTAGGGGAGGCAGAGGGGAGAAGCCCACACAAAGTTTCCCAGTCTGGGTTATCCAGTGCTCATCACATGCTCAGCACTACCTAACGGTCTTTTCTGTTCATTTCAGCTAATGAATTGGCTAGTGTCATCGCTCAGGGGTTCCGGAGCAGTGGGCCTGGTGTGCAGAGGCCAGTCACTCACTTGAGAACCTGCAAGTTGGAAGCTAGAGAGCAGGTTTCTGACTTGCATCCTGCGCTCCGGGCTTTGGACTCCGGCACTATGTGGTACTGACACACTGTCTTGTTATACAGTAGGTTCTGCTTGTCCTTTTTAGGAAAGTAACAGTGCTCCTTGGGTGACATACTGCACTAGCAAATATGCAAGCCCTAATCCACTTGCCAGGATACAGAATCCTTGGATACTGATTAGAGAAGCCGGGAATATGAGAAGCTCCCTGAGAATCAGAATGTGGGCAACAGGGACTGTTATAGTTTGTGTCTAGGTGTCCCTCCAAAGCTTCATGCAGTCATGGGGCAGGCTTCTAGTCTTTGTGATTAATTCATGATCCATTGCTGGGATTAGGGGTGTGAGTGCTGCTGGGATTAGGGGTGTGAGTGCTGCTGGGATTAGGGGTGTGAGTGCTGCTGGGATTAGGGGTGTGAGTGCTATACTCAGCCTGGGGTGGCTAGTCTGAAGGCAACATAAGGAGGACAGACTCGCTGGCTGTTGCCATTGTCACTGCTACTCCTCCCTTTGCTCTTGCTCTTTGTCACTGCCATGAATGGCTGTTTTCTCTGCCATGTGCCCCTCTGCCTTGGAGCCAGCTGAGGACGGACTGAAATCTCCACTAAGTGTGAGCTAAATAAACCTTTCCTCCTTTCATTTTGGGTGTTGGGCATTTGGTCCCAGCAACAAGAGAAAAGTAACCAAGACAGTGCCCTAAAGCACCCCGCACGGCTCCTAGTGCAGCAAGAGTCATTTGGTTTGGCCAGGGCCAGCCAGGCTTCATTTACCTTTTCCAAGCCTTGGTCCAGGAGAACTTTCCCTTGACTTTGACTTTGACGACGGCAAGTGGCCCACCATCATATACTGCTCTGGCACCTTGTAAAGCTTTTCTGAGCCCCCCGGAGCCCTGTCTTCTTGCATAGCCAGCAGGGAACGCTCCGGTAGCACAGGGGAGTTGTTGTCATAAGGGGAGATGTCTCCGCTGGAGGCTTTGTTGGAGTCTGTGGATGAATGCCTCCCTCCCATGGGAAAGGAAACGTCCGACTGTAGCATGTCAGGGCTTCTGGCACAACGAGACAATAGCAAGAGTGTGAGCGTGCAAAACTGTGAATGATCAGATTCAAATAATATGACCATTAAACAAATGACAGGAGGAGAACGCATGGATACGGGCTGAAAACAAAAAGACCTTTGGAACAATGTTTCAACATCTCTGTATTGAGGGAACGCGTTTCCACATAATGGCCGGTAGATGGCAGCAAAACACAACAAATATAAGAAGAAAACGGCAACTCGGAGGAGGGGGGCAGGAGGAAACAGTACATGGATGCCACAGCAATATGTGGCCAGCAGATGGCAGTGTAACCTAACGAATGAAATCGAAATGGCCGGCAGGCCGCAGGATGCAGATGAGAAAAATCCTTGTGTTGGCCAATGCACAGCCAGCAGAGGGCCGCGAAAGGACAGATATAACAGGAAGTGTCGGGGAGAGAAGGACAGAAAATGAAACAGCGATGGATCTCGTTATGGCCAACGTCCCTCACTGAAGTGCCTCCTGGATCCAGTCCTGATTCCACTGGAAAATCAAAGGCTGATGGTAGCTATCTAGTGAGCAAGTGAAAACTGGTAGCTAACTCACCTTCTTCAATATACTCAGTTGAACATAGTTCAGCTAAAACTATGGTTGGCACTTCACTGGAAGTGTATTATGTCTTTGTGGCTAGAGTTTCTTCTTCTAAATATTTAGTGTAAATCAATTGCTCTTTCCCGTGATGATGATGGTGATGGTGACGCTACCGGTGGGAAGGTTTAATGTAGCCGCAAAGATAAACGCAAAGCCATCATTAAGAATCTGCTGTATCTAAATACATTTGAAATGTCTCTACAAAGCACTGACGCTTTCACTTGACACACGCATGCTATTTGGCATACTACTAGCATGTACACAGGTGAGGGAGTTGTCACAGCAACGGCAAGAGCAGTGAAAATGCAAGTGGAACAGGGAAACAAGAACTTCAGGAACACAAAAAGACTGAGCAAAGTCTTACCTGGAAACATCTTTACTTTCTACCTTCCTCAAAACAGTGGCCCTGACATCTTAAAGGGAAACGATCAGAGGTTGATTAGAAATCCCAGAACCTGCTCCTTCACCTCTCATACTTCACTTTTCTTTACTATCGTTTGCTTTCTTTGGGTTGAATATTTCAAAACAAAACTCTGTGGCTTTACGAAGATAAACACTCCTGTGCAATCCTTTCCCAACCAAATGGTTTTGTGCATGCAAAATAGAGGCGACATCATACTCACAGGGGACCTAGCTTTGTCTCAGCCTTCCAGCAAGGGTTAGTACCCGGGGGAAAATATTCCAGCATCTGTGGTAGGCCGTGCTGTCACCAGGGCAGCCAGGCCTCCAGTCCTTTGGCCCAGGACATTTCTTACCCACATGGAAAAAATCAGTCCTTCCCTTGCTTCTCCTTTGAACTGATATCAGGCAATCTCGTGGGCAGGAGCCAGCAGACAACCATGAGGATGATTTTACAGACCTTTAGGACACCAAAACATTTGTAGAAAAAAAAATCAAAGGAACCTAATTCTGCTGGAAAGTGGTGGTGGGATATTTAACCACCATATCTAATGAAAAGGCAAAAATCTCCCTCTTTCGAGCTGAGGAAACAGAAAACAAAATGGATACTTCTGTGCTGTCATGGGATCTGACTCCGGCTGAGAAAAGTTTACAGAATTGGGGAAAAGCGAATGTGAACTAACGCAGAGATCACCTCAGAGTCAGGGTTCTGTGTTCAGAACAGGGCCACAAATTGCATTAGTGGACTCCTTTCAGTTGTTTACTCTGCTCAGGTGATGCTTCCCCGGTCATTAAGGAGAACGTCTTCCATCTGCTCAGGAAGAACGAGTCGGGTCTGCATCGGCAACATTCAGAAAGCCTTACTTCTTGGCATGTTTCTAAAGCATCAGCTCTGTTCGTGCACCCCAATACCATGGCCATCAGGGCTATGCTGATCTAGTTTTCCTTTTCCCATTGGGAGGCAAGTTTGGGGAAACTCATATTGTATGTCCCAGAGACCACGATAATTATGTCCCAACTGTCTCATCAGATATACTACAGAAAAGTGGCATGCTCTTGCAACCCCAGCACTCAGGAGGCTGAGACAGGAGGATCACTGTGAGTTTGAGGCCAGCCTGAAATGTACAGCCTGAGCTATACATCAAAACAACACACGGAAGAGAATGCAGTTAGTAAAATACTACAAATTGCGGGTTGCATCAGGTGTCGTACGCATAAAGAAAGACACCCCATGGCAAACATTTCGCAGCCGGAGTACTAGGGACATTTGGGCTTCCACTGACAGAGCAGGTTATTTTTGCCCCATGGAGCCATGAGTCATGTAATAAATAATGTATTTCTGTCTGCCTTGACTGCTCTGAGGCTCAGAGGAAGCGGCAGCTCCATTTGAGTTGGTGTAGAGTAGCTTGGCCTTTGTGTGTTTTGCAGCACAGCTTCATTTTCTCCTTTTCTCTATTGTTTTCCTTCTCCCCGCTCTTCAAATGACTCACTATGAGATTGTGCCACTTCATGATTTTAAGTTTCCTTCCGCAAAGTGACTCTGGATTGATGTGCAGACAGAGAAACCATACTTACATTACCTGCTGGGGAAGGGCGCGGGAAAGCAATATGCCTCATGAGAGCGTTTAGCTTGCCGAACACAAAGCAAGGACAATGACAGCAACCACAAAAGGAACTGAACTTGCTTCACCAATTTCTCCTCCATTGTCATAGCTCTTACTGGACCCCATCAAGCAGAGGGAGGGAGCAGGAGGCAGAAGGCCTCCCTTTCCTTTTTTCTTTGAGTCGATTCTGCAAAATCTCATTTAATGGATGTGAAATGCAAAAGTGTTTTCCCCGTGGTAGTGCCAGTTGAGAACTTGCTAGAAATATAAATTCCAGAGTTGCATTCTGGATTTACAGGCTGGATGGGCTAACTCCTTTGCAAAGCCCAGTACAAAAGGAACATGCAAGGCACCACGCTAAAACCAAATGAGGAATTTGAACATTGAAAACAGGAGATCATTAAATGAAATATGGGGTCTGAGTGTGAGACTGCAGCTCGGGAAGCTGGCTCTGGGTACTGAAAGGGGAACTCTGGGCCGGTGCCAATGGCCTGTGTTTCATGAAAAGCTCGAGGTGATTCTGATACATGAATGTGTGTGCGAAATTCTAAAACCCAAGCCTTCCTTCCCTTCCTCAAATTACAGATGTGACAGAAGGCTAAGGGTCTCTCAGAGGCAAAGCAGTCAAAAAGCCACACTGGCTGGAATGGGGGTGAATACGGCAGTCTTGAACTTAGGGGGCTGGGGCCCAAGCTGGTGCAAAGAAGGCAGCTGCGTGCGTCCCAGCCACTTCCAGACCTCCTCTGTCCACCACAAGCGGGATGCAAACAATGGATTGTAGTCTGGCTGCGGATCAGAACCCACTGAGGCATGGGGGAGACCAGGAGAGGCCACCTTGACTCTGTGCTTCTCGCTCAGTCTCCCAAGTCAAACAGCAAAGACAGCATAGCTTGGGCCTTGAATAACACATCCAGTTGGGGCAGTGGCTGGAGCTCCTCTCTTGAGATAGTCCTGGCCAAGCTGTCTCAGGGTAGGCACAGATTAGGAACTCCCTCAGAGTGACTGAGGTCACCACCGGGAGTACAGATAGAGAGCCATCCAAGGAGAGCCAATGACTATTTCTGTACTCCTGGTATACCCTAGTACATCCCAACCATGGAGAGGAATGTAGTGCGAGTACTTATGGCAAGCAGCTTGAGAAACATACTTAGGGCAACTAACCCCTTGGCCTGTAAGAAAAGGAAAAACTTATATTTCCACAGCATTCGTCATGCGGCAGGCAATGGACTAAGCTACTATTAACAACTCTCTTTGTTCTGGATTTTAGTATGAAGATAAGGAAAAGTAACAGGACTTATAAATAACTTGTCTTTCTAGCAAGAAGGGGCAGTAGGGATTGGGAATCCTTCTAACATTTATTTGCTAAGCAGCATTCAGCATTAATACAAATCAATAGAAAAAATGTCTTAAAGACATATTATGGAGTCCATGGCCTTTTGAAATATTTAAAATGTTTTCCTATCTATTGTTTTTTATTCTCAGCAAAGGTCAGCAAGTGGCAGCTAAGCTTGCCTAAGAATCCACTCCAAAGAACTGTCAAATCTAGAAAAACACTCTTTCCTTTGGGGATCTCTGAGAAAATGAGACAAGCAGCTACACATGTCTCCTCTCAGACTTGCCTGGCAGGGGGAATCCAACTTGAAGTAGTCAGTTTTGAGTTGAGGGTCTTCAGTGCAGGCATGAGAATGCCCACGTATTGGTTGCCAGGAAGTATTTACTGTGATCAGTGGTGCACTAGGTGAGAAATGATCTGGAGCAGGCCTGCCTAGGCCGTGTACTCTTCTAGAATGCTGGGGGGTGAGTTGTCAGTCAGCGTGGCTTCAGGCCCCAAAGTACGCAGGGGCGTTGCTCGCCAGGCTTAGGGTGTAACGGACTGAGGCTGGCAGCGTTGGGTGGGTGCGTTGCCAGGCAACATAGCTTTGCCTCCATGCATGGAGGCATGGATTCCTCTGTAGCTCCCCAGTGCCCTGGACCAGCCTCCGCTAACCAACAAGCATGGGATGGGCATGGAGAGCAAAGCACATCCTCACCCTTAGCTGCTCCCTCCATGTCAGGGTGTAAACGCGCTGGCAGGGCACTGTGGGCAGGCCTGCACTGCAGCTGGAAACCCAGAACTTGTTCTGTAGATAGATGGAAAACTCAGTTCAATCACCGAATATGCCCTTTCAGACCCAGGCCGGGCTATCTCAGCGAGAAACTCTCATAACGATTTCAAATGCACGTTGTCTTCATCCTTGGCTCAGTTGTTCAACTGATAAACTTCAGTCTATTGGAATGCAAAGCTCATAACCATCTTAGGCACTATTAATTGTAGTAGGAAAGGAATTCACTGCCAGCGCAGCTCTGGAATTATGGAGGATTTTCACATTAATCATG